TATTTTGATTGGAGTGCTTATTTGGATGACAATGTATCTTCACACCAAAAAAAAAAAAAAAGTATTTGTGAGTTTAATAAAGATGATGCATGAAAATAAACTTTAAAAAGAGAAGAAAAGATCATACTTGTGGAACTTTGTAAATGGACAGGATAGCTGCCATGTGGATGCAGACTTCAGAATTAGGTCCTCCAATGACTGACACTGGATTGTTCTCTGTATCACACTTGTAGTTAGCGATGAACTTGCCTTGTGTGGAGAAGAGTTCCATCGAGGCATGATATGTCCAGCTTGCTATAAAATGGCTGTCCAAGATATGGAAGCCCAGAGTGAGATTGGGCAGAATCTGGGGATTTTCATTGATCTCCTTTACAGCAAATACCAAAGATAAGATGTGCTGGTAGAGCTGAGTCACCACCCTGAAATGAAGTTCACAAGCTGACTTGCAGTGAGTTTGTTCAAAAGGTGCCATCTACTACAGACCAAGAAATTTCCTGGCTACTAAATATAATGCACTCTTTTTATCCAATCTAAAGAATTATGAAGAAGTATTGTTTCATATATCTGTCATCAGTGTTCACCAGCTTGATAGTGATGTTACTCTGAAAGGCACTTGTTAACGTGTCTATATTGCCAGAAATCTCTACATTCTGCACCTGCATACTGTTTAATATGGATCCCCTTTTTGGCTTTATGACTCTTGCTGCAATTCTCTGTCTTTTCCCTTTCCATAGCACCATCCTGAATGTATGAAAAGTCTATATTATACATAGATAGGGGTATTTTAATAGATTCATCTAGGTACCTGTTCTTTTTTACCAGATTATAAGATCAATAAACTTCAGGAAACTGCATACATCTAAAGCACTTTAAACCACACCATAGAGTGAACTGAGAAATTTGCCAGCCAAATCATAAATATCAGAAGTATGACGTTAAGCATACTGTATATGTGGGATGAGATTGTGCACAACTTTAGATTCAAATGTTTGATTTGATCTCATATCCCAAGCATTCTTAAACAATTGCAATGTTTATGAAAGGGAACTTGGATAGTCAATCTGTGCCTGTATGAGGGAGGGAGGGTAGAAGGAAAGGTCAGCAAAAGAAGGTTTAGGTACAATAGAACAAGCCTTTCTCAAATAAATTTGATACGCATCTTACTGAGTTTCGTAAAAAAGGTCAGTCGAAGGTCGTTCCTGAAAGGTTATTGTGTTTGAAAATATGTAGATCTGAGACATAATTCCACCAATGATGATGTCTCCTAACTGATAGTATTTATGAAGAATGGGAACAGGATCACTGATGATGCAATTCATGTGAGGAATCTTGCAGAGCACCTCAGGCAAAAACATTAAGATCAGGATAGAAAACCTTATAAACTTGCATGACATAATTCCTTCTTTATATCACTTTCTTTGACTTCATTTTATCCCTTACTGAATTCTTTGCTAACTCAGTATAGCCTGACCTGAATGGCCACTCTGTTGGTTTAGCTGGCCTTTATACTGAAATAAAAGTTTTAGCCAACACAGGTTCTTCAAGTCCAGCTTGGAATGGTACACTTTTGTCTTTGATTATAATTTTGTTAGAGGTACCTCACTTGTCTTGGGACTTGTAGAAGAAGCAAAAGTAATTGGGATTAATTTGATAATTACCTCAAAGGTAATTCATCTATTTAGAATTACAAGTTCTCTGAGATCTCACAGAAATATTTATTATACCTCTGTCTTCAAGTCTAGCTGGGAATTGCACACAGTTCAGTCTTGATTTGCAGTTTTGATGGTTATGGTCGCTCTCTTGAGACATAGTGAGAAGTAGGCTTTATATTAATTTGATAATCATAAGAAACATAACTCCCTGTTTAAAATTAGAGTTCTGCAATGAGATATCAAAACAAGCATGTTTATTATACCTTAGCAAGGATCATTTCTATGCTGAAAAATAAGAGATAAGGAGCTGCAGTGATCCCCAGAGAAAGTTAACAAAACAACATATGCTAAGTGAGAAACCTGCTTTCATGTTACATATTTTAAAAAGGTATTAAAGTTGTATTTGGAACTCTGTGTTATTTTTGGGGGTGGGGCCAGAATCCTTCAAACTCTGAAATGTGACAAACATGACAGAGGAAGCACGACCAAATATGGCCATAAACAATGGTGAATTAGTTTTCTGTAGAATCCTACCTTATGAGAAGGTTTTCACATTCTTTCTTTTGAAATCCATCAACTAAGCCAGAACATGTTTTTCTTTTGGACAGCGACCTTCCTCTTCCTTGTTTGTTTGAAATAAATCTGCTATGGAGCCAGCACAGTGATACATTAGCAACCATATGCTCAGGGGCTTTTCCACTATCAAGTTAAAGTGCTACCCATCCCTCCTTGAGTTGGCAGAAAATTATGCCAGCATAACATTTGTTGTCCCCATTTCTGATCTTGTCCTGAATCTAGTCCCTCTTTTTTGGTTTGCCAATAAATGATAGTATCATTATTCAGGTGTGCAGACTGTATGGAGCACAGTGATTGATTAAGTCCTCTGGATTTGCTGCCTTCCCATTCAGAATGTCTCCAGGATTCAGTAGGGATGGGACTGGTGGCTAATCTTGACAGATGGTTGGTACCAAGACTGTCAAAGCAGGAGAAGGTGGGTCTCCTCACCAGCACTGCAAACACTGTGCAGTTCTGAATGTGCACTAAACTGTCACTCATGAAGCAGGAGTGTGATTTCTTTCAAAACTGGGCATTTCTGCAAGTGTGCTCATGGAAGTTGTGGCTTTTAAAGAGCCATGGTTTCTTGCATGGGTCTTTCCAAACCTGGCATCTCCTTTCTTCTTCCTGCAGGAAGTAAGCAAAGAGTGGAGAAGAGTCCTGGGAAACAAAAGGGTTGAGGGACGGGGTGGGGAACCCCAGTCCAGCTGGAAGAACTTAATAAGCACCAGCTGATCCTGCCTTATGGGTCAACTGATTAGACCACCAATAGCATGGGAGGAAAAGCTTGTCAGGTTTGTCACTCATGGAAATTGTTGCTAGTTGCTGTTGGGCTAAAAGGAAAATGAGACTCTAATATTGGTGCAATTAAAGGTGACTTAAGGTTGTCTCACTCATAGGCTGGGAAATAGATGCCGGCAACATCATGAGAGCACAGCAGTATGAAGATGCTCCCAGATGACTAGATGCAAGTAGCCACATGAAAAAGGGGAAAAGTCTTACATGTCTGCTCTGTTATGCTAGCATATTAATGTAGCCCTTAGAAAGGGCTAACGTGTTTTAAGTTTTATTTTAGGAACAGGAAAGGCAAATTCATTTGGATTTCAGAGAATGACATTTGAAAATAATTTGATTGATTATCTGCCATGAAATTGTTTTTGACTCCTAACAACCACATAGATTTCTGTGAATTATCTTGCAAATAATTACTCTACATTTAAGATTCCAAGTGTCAGAAAAATTTGATGAGGTATGAAATACATCTTAAAACAGACAAATTAATTATCATTATTATAACAAACAATTCATTATACTTCCACATGAATTTTAATAAACATTATAAGAACATGTGAATGTCTTTTATATTCTGCATTCTGTGACTTTACTAAGTGTGAAAACATAGCTGAGAATAACCAAAAGGAAATTCAGAACAGTACAACCAGAAACCCCAAACCGGTTATGAAAAATTTAGGAGGTAGCAGATTAAGCATATAAAACTTGTCTCCATTTAAAGTACTAAAATAAGCTGTATACTAAAAAAAAAAAAAAGAAAACAATAAACTAGAATTTAAGAAAATGATAAAATCCAGGATAAGATATTAACATAAACATATATCATTCTTATAGCTGAAACCGATATTCTACAGCTTTGAAGTGCTTTCATGAGGCACTTTGGGATATGAAGTCCATGTGATCTATTTTCATCAGCTGCTTCATGTCAATCCAGATTCAGAGCATTTAGGACATCTTTTTTCCAAAATTCTTCCCTCCCCCACAACTATGATGGTTTGTAGATTTATTGAAGGAGGAAAACTTAATAGGTCATTAATGCATAATGCTGGGAGATTCTAACAATGCACACATAGAACTTCTTTAGGTCAGCACAAAAGTTACTTTCTGACTTTTCAGATTTGGAGTTTGAGGCTAGAGATGGGGAAAAAAATAAAACAATACTATCTTCCTGTCCCATCCAAATTGCACAACAAAAACATTAGATACAATCCTTACCAAAACAGATCTGGATTAATGGAAATAGACTCTCAGATATCTTGCCTAAATAACAAGCTTTATTGCAGGCAGGATAAAACCATACAGGAGTGATGATTTTTACAATGCAGGACATAAAATTAAAAGCCTTATATAGGTGCATGCTTAATATTTAAGCATTTTCCGCCAACATTTCTGACTCAATAGAGATTAGAAATCACCTTGAGGAGCTTTTGAGGCACTGTATCTTTGAAGACATAGCAATATGATCTTCAAGGTGCCTTAAACAGCTCCAGTCCTTAAAATATTGAAAAAAAATTGAATACATCAGGCAGCATATATTCCAAAACACATATTATTCACCAGAGATAACAAATTAAGTTCATTAAAATGTGAGAAGCATTTTGATTTGCCTTGAAGAGATACTTTGTACCATGATAACAGGGTGATGGATTTGAGGAAATTTCTCATTCCCTTTCACCCCACTTCCATTTCCACTGGCATTTGTATTTGCTACTATGATTAATGATTTCAACACTACTTCTTCATGAGCAAATGCTTGCTGTTCAGTTCAGGTCTGAACAGGATGATAAAACATTTGGGGGCAAAGATACAACCCAGTAAGCCAGCACTGGAGGATAAGATGGAGAAGATCTCCACAGCCACCATGTATTTTCCTTTGGTACTCAAGTAGCTGGGAACAAAGGACAACCAAACACTGCAGAAGACAAACATGCTGAAGGTGATGAATTTGGCTTCATTGAAACTGTCAGGGAGTTTCCTA